AAACCATTTCAGGTGACTACCTCTTGAAGCTCATGGAGAGAATGCCAAGAGTGTGCAAAGCAGTAATCAGAGCAAAGGGTGGCTATTTTGAAGAAACTAGAATATAAAACATGTTTTCAGTTATTTCACCTTTTTTTGTTAAGTACATAACTCCACATGTGTTCATTCATAGTTTTGATGCCTTCAGTGAGAATCTACAATGTAAATAGTCATGAAAATAAAGAAAACGCATTGAATGAGAAGGTGTTTCCAAACTTTTGGCCTGTACTGTATATATATAAAAGCATAATTATGAGGCTACGAAAACCAAAATGAATTTTATTTTATAGCGATTATACACTTATATAAACATATTAATGGGTAGAATATTCAGATTCAGATTCAGATTGACAATAAACCATGCCAAATATTACACACTGGCCCTTTAAGGGGGGCTGTCCAAGCAATTTGACATATTTGAGCATTTTATAAAAAAAGTAATGCAATAGTTACTTTTCCAGGTAATTAATTACTTTAACAGTGCAGTAACTCAGTTACTAACTCAGTTACTTTTTGGGGAAAGTAACTATAACTAATTACTTTTTTAAAGTAACATTCCCAACACTACTCCTGGGTCAAAGTCACCAACATTACCTCAGCTCTAGCCCAGCTCATAGGTGTTGGAACGTAAAGGTAACAATGACCTCCGTACTCAGACCAGACCGAGGGACAAGCTGTCCACCTCTTGACCAGGCGACTCTCTGTGGAGAACCATTGGAGTTTGGTTAATGTGGGGTCTCCAGGGAAAGTCTCCATACTATATTAAATAGATTCATTTTGATGGCACGAAGAAGCTACAACATAACATAATATTACATGACACAACATAAATATAATATACGTGAGTTAACATAACACAATATTACATAACAAGACAAAATAACAATACATCATCAATTAATATATATGTAATATAAAATACAACATAAACGTAAAAAAATTGCAACAGAATACAAACATTGGAATACATAACATAGCCCTATATGAGTAATAAAAAGCAATATAACGTAGTAGGATATAAAATAAGATAAAGTTACATTAGCATCTGACACAAAGCTTTTATCAGGAGAAACTGCTCATTGACATTAAACACAGGTGAAGTCATCACAGCAGAGCATCATAACAACCACATTCTGTTGAAGTGAAAATCTTAAAGCCACTCACCTGTTTCATCTTGGGGAGTTTCCTCTGGAGGAGCTGGAAAGTTTGACACTGCAGTTATTGACTTGGACTGTTTGTGTTTATTAACATGTGTACCGTATGTATTATACTCACCAGCAGCTCTGGTCAGAACCATCATGGCACAAACAAGTGCAGACACAATCAGCATCTTCATGGTGACGATGACTACGAGAGACAGACGTGTTAGTGAGACTTGTTTAGGGAACAGCCGTACTGACTGTCAGTCCTGTGAATAAATGGGGTCCATGTCATTGGTTTGACATCCCATTAGTCCGACTGTCCGCGGTGCTGAACGGCTCCCGGCAGGCGTATTTCTACCTTGATGGTGCGCCACGACCGGCTCTGGGTCAGCTGGGAAAGGCTTGAGGCGGAGCAGGCTCACGGCTTATGTGTTTGTCACTTTCTTTTTCATTTTAACCCACACCATGATCTTTTCCTGACCCTAAGCAAGTGGTTTTTGTGCCTAAACCTAACCAGACCTTAACCACAGGGCATCATGATGATTTCGGAACATACTTCGGAACAATGGTTTTAATATGGTTGGAACAAGGGGCTGTGGGACCAATGGGCAGTTCCCGAATAAATGTCAGAAGATGATAAAGTTTGGTGCAAACCTGCTGCAGGACTTTCTTCTCTTCTCTTCAGACTGTCTGTAGCTTCAGCGGACCCTGTGAGGATGTGCGGATGAAGATGATGACCAGTTCTTATATACTGTGCAGACAAAGGTTAAAATATTTACCAAAGATGTTGTCTTAATAACTGTCACTCCTTCCTTGGAAATTCTCTCAATGCTTCAAACATTCAAACAAGTCAGCCACATCAAGACACGCCATCACACCACAAAGTGTCAGGGCCATATCCAAGGCTTATTACTGGTTTAGTGGAACAGTTGTAAAATAACACACAGGAAACAATGACAGTATCATGATATGTCAAGTTTACATTCAAATGTAGAGCAAATTTTAACTGAACGTCCAAAAAACAGCAACAGAAAATACAAATTAATGTCCGTTTCCATCCATTAGTGTTGTGTGAATATAAGAAGTTGGTTAGTTTGACTCACAGGGTGTAGACTGTGGTTATCAGCCTGCCATTAGCTGCATATTTCAGACAGAGCTCACCTCACATTCTATTTGTGTTACCGTGTTCAAAATCCCCATCACTACACGAAACAACAACAATCTCCAAGCTAACAACCTACACACTAGTGACGGCCAAATGAAGTCTCACGAGCCATTTTCTTTATTTTCTGAACCCACTAGACGGCGCCCTCTGCAACCAAGGGTTGAAAGCACACTGAACTGCAGTCTGAAGTCATCAACGTCCTCAGAAACCAAAAGCTACCTTTCATGGAGGTATGATATTCTGCCCGATGGCCGGATGGCACCTACTGTATCATGACAGTATGATATGCGGCCGGACAATTTATAGTTCATAAAGCGGCTGGACACCACATGGGTATGATACACCATTGCACTGTAGGTTGGCGGAATACACCACAGCCCCTGTAGACCAGACCAGGAAACCCTGCCTACTAACGGTGTGGAACCTGTTTTGAGTTTTCTGATTTTTTCCCTTCTCTCCTTCGTGTACGGTGGCTGTTCAAGAGTGATGCCATGTGTGAATATCTACCCCATTGACCACTGGTAACACTACTCATTCCATCATCGGTAAAGAGACATGAACCTTTTCCTCTCAACATAGATGCTTTAAGTCTCCACCATACTCTCTAAGTGATATCTAGAGGGTTACTCAGCCAGCCAAAGTAATATCCAGGAAGTACCTGTCCCTCCATAACAATGTACTTGTACTGAGGACAAAACTGCAGATTTCAGTAAGGTAAGGATTTTCGTTTGCTTGTTTAGCTGACAGAAAACCATTAAACTATGTTTGGATCAGCCCGGAGGATTGGGACATCTCTGATTAAAACAGGAGACTAAAAGCACAGACCAGTTTGTTTTGATGCTTGAACACAATAGAATAACAAAGTAATGACATTTTAAAATCCAGAAGGTCAAAGGTCATCTTTGTTTCTCAGTTTTGTTTCTTTTTTCTCTCATTCACAAGAAGACAACAGTCAGTTTCACAAGACGTTTGTGTGAAATTTTGTCATAATTAGCGTATGAACCCTTGACTAAAACATGTTTTGTGAGGCCACAGTGACCTTGACTTTTGACCACCAAATTCTCATGAGGTCATCATTGAGTCCAAGTGGATGTTGGTGCCAAATTTGAGGAAATTCTCAAGATATAAAGTTAATGAAAATGAGACAGATGTAAGATAACAGAGACTTTGACCTTTGACCACCAAAAACTAATCACTTTATCCTTGAGTTCAAGTGGACGTTTGTGCCAAATTTGAAGAAATTCCCTCTAGGTGTTTTTCAGATATTGCATTCATAAAAATAGACAGACAGATGGACAGATGGACCCAAAAACATAACATGCAGGCACAAAGGCATAAAAAGAGGTAAAGAAATAAAGCAAAGCAAACCTTCTGGTGGATTATCTTCTCTTCCTCCTTCTCAGTGTCAGCTTGAGAGTTGATGCTGAACAAGCCCAAGACCAGCTCTTATATACAGTGAATTATCTATCCATCAATCATAAAAAATGATTAAAGTACATCAGTTTACTCCACCCTAAATGATGATGGGTTAACCATCTGTAAAAGGTTATTAGATTAACAGCTGGTCAGTGCATCAACTGGCATCACCTCTCAATCTCCTATTTACTTTGGAGGCTTGAAGGATGACGGTTTGCCATCTGCAAGCCAGTGGCATTTTCTCCCGGAGGCCAAGGGAAGCCAAGCTTCCTCTGTTTTTTCAGACTGTAATTGTCATTTTAATAAAAACACTTCGTTTAACAGTTTCGGTAATTCTTCTGTGCTGTTGCTGTCATCTCTTCTCTGAGTATTTTACAATGAGTGAAATAGCGCCCCTCTAAATGAATGTGTGGTGAAACACAGTATTGCACTTTATATTGCACTCCGGTAGACTGTCTTGTCTGCGGGGAAGCCAGGCCAAGTTGGCATCCCTTGGTGAAAAAAAAAAGAAATATTAACCAATCAGATGAGGTTATCGTCATGCCAATGTCAAACTGTGATTAGTCAGGACTATGCCAAGGGAAGCCAGCCATCCTTTGGCTTGACACCAATCAAATAGCACGTTATCAACGTCACTGAATGTTACTGCAGTCATGGAGTAAATAGGGTCGCAAAATAGCTAATGGTTATTAACAAACCAATTTGATCAACATGGTTTTTTTATTCCTGGAATGCTCACACTCCTTTACAAAGGATCCAAATGGCTCACCAGTGATGTTTCCATAAACCTATTTTTACTTGCATTTTGAAGTATCGCATTACAACGTATGGAAATAGCGAAATTCGATAAAACTTCCTAAGTTGCACAAAAAAGTTTTTAAGCTCGTGTGACGTGGTTTTTGTCCTACTTGAAAAAGAGTTCATGTGAAGTGACCCTTTGGGGATGAATAACGTTATTCTTCTTCTTCTGTGGAACTGTTCAGAGGCTTCCAGGTGCGTAACTGTGTCGATGTGCAGGGTGTGGCTGGTAAAGGGTTTTTATGCTATTCACTCTGTGCAAATATTTACTAAGGATGTTGTCTTAATAAGTCTCCTCTCTTCTCTGGAAATTCTCTCAAAACTTCCGTGCAAAGCCAGGGAACAGATCCAAAACAATCGAACAAGTGAGCCACGTGTCAGGAGATTACCACCATCATACCACAAAGTGTAGTGTCAGGGCCCTGTCCAAGGCTTATTAGTAGTTAAGTGGAACAGTTGTAAAATTACATACAAGGAACAATGACAGTATCATCATTAGTCAAGTTTACATTCAAACATAGAGCAAATTTTAACTGAATGTTCAAAAAACAGCAAAAGAAAATACAAATTAATGTCTGTTTCCATCCATTAGTGTTGTGTGAATATAAGAGGTTGGTTAGTTTGACTCACAGGTTGTAGACTGTGGTTATAAGCCTGCCATTAGCTGCCTATTTCAGACAAAATTCACCTCAATTTCTATTTGTGTGTTCAGAATCAACCTACTTGCTAGTGATGGTCAAATGAAGCCTCGTGAAGCATTGTCTTTTTTTCCTGAGTCCAATAGATGGCGCCCTCTTCAACAAAGGGTTGAATTCACACTAAATTGCCATTCCTTTAAAGAGGCAACGGATAGCATTGTTTTTTTTTTTTTTTAGCTTGGCGCCACCTGGCGTCAGCGGTGTTGCTCGCACTGTGGATCAGAGAAAGCCACCAGTATACCTCTATGGATATGTCGAATGAGAAGGTGTGTGGACACTCTACTAAATAAATGAGTAAAGAGACCGAGTAACAATTATCAGATTTATCTGAAGAAAAAACAAATAGTAATGCAAATAATTATAGCACAGTACCAGTAGTATTTTACTCCACTTCTCCCGGTCGGAGAGGCTGGGTGCCCAGTAGCTGCGAAGGCTGCCCTCACATGATCTCCCTGCTCCTCCAGGCCCGCTTGGGGGAGCTGTGTGGAATAACGTTAACTGATTTTGATGCTACTCAGTCTAAGGCCGTTGCAGTGAAAAGTCCAGTGTTCACTTAGCTGGGCGTAACTTATCTGGACGATGTCCGTGGATAGCTGCCTCCGTGAGAAGAGAACAGATGGAAGGGAGGGGGGAATCACTGTCCGATGGCTGCCGTAGAATGGCAACCAGGATGTCAGCCGACCAACACTCGCTACCCGCTCCCTCGTTGCGGCGATGTGCGATGTTGGCCAGCTAGGAATGAACTAGCAGCCAGTACAGTACAGTCCTCTCTGGTCTAGCTAACATTAAGCCGTGTTACTTACTGATCCATTAGAAAGAAAGCTAGCTGGACATGGGTTTTGATGCCTCTTCGGTCACGGAGCTCCCTCCATCTCTTGAACGCCTGACTGAGGTTTACTCTTCCTCTTCTTTTATCACTCTCCTTTTTGCTCTTCTTTGCCTCACACAGAGGAGCTCCTTTTCTTTCGCTAAGCTGTTTTTCACTTATCTCCAAACTTTGTCCGTCTGCCATTGTGCTCATGACTCAACTATCTCATGCCCAACTCCTCATAAGGACTCGCTCCAGTCCCTGATTGGCTGACCAACCAGTTTCGCAATACATGACGCGTTTCCTGCCGTAAAGCAGATTTTTTTTTGGCAGAAGCTTATTACAAAGATCGGAAAGCCACTAAGTAACTTATGTAAATGCTGATAGTCTGATTTTACTGTGGCCACTACCCTGTGCAACCCACATTATTTTCATAATGATATACAGTACAGGCCAAAAGTTTGGACACACCTTCTCATTCAATGCGTTTTCTTTATTTTCATAACTATTTACATTGTAGATTCTCACTGAAGGCATCAAAACTATGAATGAACACATGTGGAGTTATGTACTTAACAAAAAAAGGTGAAATAACTGAAAACATGTTTTATATTCTAGTTTCTTCAAAATAGCCACCCTTTGCTCTGATTACTGCTTTGCACACTCTTGGCATTCTCTCCATGAGCTTCAAGAGGTAGTCACCTGAAATGGTTTTCCAACAGTCTTGAAGGAGTTCCCAGAGGTGTTTAGCACTTGTTGGCCCCTTTGCCTTCACTCTGCGGTCCAGCTCACCCCAAACCATCTCGATTGGGTTCAGGTCCGGTGACTGTGGAGGCCAGGTCATCTGCCGCAGCACTCCATCACTCTCCTTCTTGGTCAAATAGCCCTTACACAGCCTGGAGGTGTGTTTGGGGTCATTGTCCTGTTGAAAAATAAATGATCGTCCAACTAAACGCAAACCGGATGGGATGGCATGTCGCTGCAGGATGCTGTGGTAGCCATGCTGGTTCAGTGTGCCTTCAATTTTGAATAAATCCCCAACAGTGTCACCAGCAAAACACCCCCACACCATCACACCTCCTCCTCCATGCTTCACAGTGGGAACCAGGCATGTGGAATCCATCCGTTCACCTTTTCTGCGTCTCACAAAGACACGGCGGTTGGAACCAAAGATCTCAAATTTGGACTCATCAGACCAAAGCACAGATTTCCACTGGTCTAATGTCCATTCCTTGTGTTTCTTGGCCCAAACAAATCTCTTCTGCTTGTTGCCTCTCCTTAGCAGTGGTTTCCTAGCAGCTATTTGACCATGAAGGCCTGATTGGCGCAGTCTCCTCTTAACAGTTGTTCTAGAGATGGGTCTGCTGCTAGAACTCTGTGTGGCATTCATCTGGTCTCTGATCTGAGCTGCTGTTAACTTGCGATTTCTGAGGCTGGTGACTCGGATGAACTTATCCTCAGAAGCAGAGGTGACTCTTGGTCTTCCTTTCCTGGGTCGGTCCTCATGTGTGCCAGTTTCGTTGTAGCGCTTGATGGTTTTTGCGACTCCACTTGGGGACACATTTAAAGTTTTTGCAATTTTCCGGACTGACTGACCTTCATTTCTTAAAGTAATGATGGCCACTCGTTTTTCTTTAGTTAGCTGATTGGTTCTTGCCATAATATGAATTTTAACAGTTGTCCAATAGGGCTGTCGGCTGTGTATTAACCTGACTTCTGCACAACACAACTGATGGTCCCAACCCCATTGATAAAGCAAGAAATTCCACTAATTAACCCTGATAAGGCACACCTGTGAAGTGGAAACCATTTCAGGTGACTACCTCTTGAAGCTCATGGAGAGAATGCCAAGAGTGTGCAAAGCAGTAATCAGAGCAAAGGGTGGCTATTTTGAAGAAACTAGAATATAAAACATGTTTTCAGTTATTTCACCTTTTTTTGTTAAGTACATAACTCCACATGTGTTCATTCATAGTTTTGATGCCTTCAGTGAGAATCTACAATGTAAATAGTTATGAAAATAAAGAAAACGCATTGAATGAGAAGGTGTGTCCAAACTTTTGGCCTGTACTGTATTTAGGAAAAGATGCTGTCTGTTGCCTTTTTAACCTTTTTCTTTAAACCAAGAGCGCCATCTAGTGGGCACCATCACTGCATCCTCGGCTTTGTGCCACCCAAGACAATTGTAATCGGTTTAAAGAAATGGAAACAAGCGAGATCATTTGTTTCCCTGAAGCAGAATGTTAATTTGTGATTCCAGACCTTCCCCTAGCACTGACACGTACAGCGCTGTGGAGATAGGTCAAAACTCAGCACAACCACACCACTATTCACACTCACACACACTAATTTCTACTTGCATATGCAGCGAACTGCTGCAGTGTATGCTGTTGTGAAGGAGAGCCGTGATGCAACAGAAGCAGGCTGAGGAGGACAAAACTGCAGATTTCAGTAAGGTTCATTTGTTTAGCTGACAGAAAACCATGAAACAATGTTTGGATCAGCCCGGAGGATCCGGACATCTTTGATTTAAACAGGAGACTAAAAACACAGACCAGTTTGTTTTGATGCTTGAGCCTTTAATTTTGCATAAGACAAGAAAGAAGAGTTTACTGTGCAGAATATATGTAGATTTGTGCTAAAAGCATTCTTTTCATAACACACTCAGTCTGCTCTCATTAAAGGCACA